CAAGTGACAATATAAGTGCTTTAGGGCTTCATTTGCAAACATTTTATGCAATTTTCAGATTGTTAAATTGTAAATGAAGTGAATTAACTTTAATAGGATTTAGGAACCCACTTCCCATAGTAAAATAACTGTAAAGCAAAGCCTTGTTTTTTTTTTTTTTTTAAACAATAATTATACAGGTGAAGTCAAAATTATTAGCCCTCCTGTGATTTTTTTTTTCTTCTTTTTGAAATATTTTCCAAATGATGTTGCAAGGAGTTTTTACAGTATGTCCTATATTATTTTTTCTTCTAGATAAAGTCTTTGTTGTTTTATTTCGGCTAGAAAAAAAGCAGTCACAATTTTTTATTATAACCATCTTAAGGTCAGTATTGCACTTTAAGCTGAATACTAGTGTCTTGAAAAAACATCTAGTAAAATATTATTTACTGTCATTATGGCAAAGATAAAATTAATCAGTTATTAGAAATTAGATATTAAAACTATTATGTTTAGAAATGTGTAGAAAAAAATCGACACGTTAAACAGATATTATGGAAAATATGCAGAAGGATAATAATTCAGGGGGGCTAATAATTCAGTCTTCAACTGTATATCAAAATGCTAAAAGTTATAGACTTCAGAAATGTCCTCAGAAATGTCAAAGTTAACTAAACATACCGTTTCAGTGAAAGAAAGAAAATCATTATAGAAAACATGTACAGGTGAACCTTCTCTGGCAGCAACCCTTTTTAAACAGCCAAGCAGATGGACACACAGACGCACAGTCAGTTTGTATTTCATGCCATACAACAGAATTAAATTCAGCTCCGTCAATCGGAGAAAAGCTGAGACTGAACGGCCATATGCTGTGTGTGTGTGCATGTTCTTCAGTATTATTTTGTGTGTCGGCATACAGAATGATGTTTAGCTCAGATAAAAAGAAGTAAAAAGCCTATAAATTGCCAACATTGTGGTCCCCATGTGGAAAGCAACTTGGAAAACATTTTAAATAATTTATGAAAATCAGTAAACTTAGGGGAGAGCAAATATCATTAAGTCATCGGAAATGTTTGTGTTGGATCTTTTCAGTTCATTGCTTCTAACATCCGTTCTTTGAGTTTCTCATTCTGTTCATCATCTACGGATTCATTCATGCTCCGTTTGTCTGTGTTTCTATTCTGCAGTGTGTGTGTGTGTGTGTGTGTGTGTCAGGTGTTGGAGAAATTGCAGCACTTCTAAATGTTAAATTTGATTACAGTGTTAAAATCTGACAGAGCGTAAATTATTAACCATTAAACAGTGTTGCTGATTTATATATACACATCTCATTAATGCACTCATAACAAATGAGTGTGCATGCAAGCATACATCTATAACCGGTACGGTAGTTACAGCGGGGTCACGTTCTTATGAATGTTCAGTATATTTAGCATGTAAAAGTACAGTGTCTCTGAAGCAAACTCTTTGTGAAGCTGCCGGGCCTCTGCTTCTGCGGGTCTTGTTGCCATGGCGTTGTGACTCACGGTGCAGGGTGATTATTTCATAGCTGCTAGCCAAGAGAACAAACACACACTCTCTGAAATCTCTCTCACACACATACAGACACTCAGACACTCATACATTAGGGGACGCACCCTGGGCAACATGTCAGAGCAGGGGAACAATGCTCATATAGAGTTAATGGCTTCATGCCAACTTCACCTGTATGACACAGTAAAACCAGATGGAGAGATGGATGGATGAACTGATAGACAGAACAACAAGTCGGGAAATGAATGGATGGATAGATAGATTGATAAATTGATAGATGTAAGGATTGATGGATGGATAAACTGCGGGTGTATGGATAGAAATATGGATAAGTAAAAAGACTGACTTGGATGGATGGATAGATGAATTTGGGTAATTAGATTGACATAAATGGATGGATGGATGGATGAATTGATCTATAGATGGATTGATGGATGGTGAAATGGATGGATGAACTGCAGGCAGGTGGGTGGAGAGATGGATGGATGGATTGATGGATGAATGAACTGGGTGGATGAATTGATAGATGGATAATTAAATAGACCGACTCAGATGGATGGATGGATGGATGGATGGATGGATAATTAGATCGATTGACTTGAATGGATGGATGAATTGATGGCTGAATGGATGAATGGATGGATGAACCGATGGATGGAGAGATGGATGGATGAACTGCAGGTGCGTGGGTGAGTGGATGCATGAATTGATTGAATGGAGAGATAGATGGATGGATAATTAGACTGACTCAAATGGATGGATGGATGAATGAATGGAAACTTAGACTGATGAATGGATAATTATGTTGACTTGGATGGATGGATCATAGATGGATGATCTACGGGTGGTGGATGGATTGATAATTAGATTGACACGAATGGATGGATGGATGGAAGGATAGATGGGTTGATGGATGGATAAACTGAGAGTGGGTGGGTGTACGAATAATTAGATTGAATTGGATAGATGGATGGATAATTAGTTTGACTTCGATGGATAGATGTATGATGGATAGATAGATAGATAGATAGATAGATAGATAGATAGATAGATAGATAGATAGATAGATAGATAGATAGATAGATAGATAGATAGATAGATAGATAGATAGATAGATAGATAGATAGATAGATAGATGGATTGATAGATGGATTGATTGATGGATGGATGAACTGCTGGTGGGGGATGGATGGATGGATGGATGAATAATTTGACTGACTCAGATGGATGAATGGATGAATAATTAGACTTGGATGGCTGGATTGATGGATTGATGAACTGCTTTCTATAATTAGATAGACTGACTAAGATGGACAAATGAACTGTGGGTGGGTGGATAGATTAATGAATGGATGGATGGATGAATAATTAGTCAAATGGATGGATGGATAGAAGAATGGATAAATGGATTGATGGAGGGATGAACTGCGAGTGGGTTGGTGGGTGGATGGATGGATGGATGGATGGATGGATGAATGGATGGCTAATTAGACTGACTCGGATGGATGAAAGAAAGGATGGATTGATTGATGGATGGATGAACTGCAGGTGGGTGGGTGGATGAATAATTAGACTGACTTGAATAAATGGATGGTTGGTTGGTTGGTTGGATAATTAAATAGATTGACTTGGATGGGTGGATAGATGAATGGATGGTTGTATATTTAGATTGACTCAGGCGGACTGATGGATATTCAGATGGATGGATGGATGAATGGATTAACAATGATAGACAGCCATATGCACAAGTAGGCAGATACTGGGATAGATGGATTGACAGAAAATGGATGAATGGTCAGATGAGTAAAATGAAAGGTAAAAATAGTGAGTAAATGTGTTGTCATTTGACAATTTTAAGTTGAATTATTGTTGATTTACTTAATAATTTTAAGGCAACTTTACTCATTTATTAACAGTAAAGGCAGCTAATTGCTTTTTACAGTGTTGATACTTTCCATCTGTTACCCATGAAGTGACAGTTAAGAGGAAAATAGTGCTTTATTTGAAAATATGTTAAAAGGATGGATGGATGGATGGATGGATGGATGGATGGATGGATGGATGGATGGATGGATGGAAGGATGGGTGGGCAGAATGCTAGGTGGATCAATAGACAGACAGCTAGATAGATAGATAGATAGATAGATAGATAGATAGATAGATAGATCGATTGATTGATTGATTGATTGATTGATTGATTGATTGATTGATTGATTAATGATTTAGTTGTACTCTATAAGGTAGTTGTAGGTACATGTCCCTGTAATTCAAAAAGCTTTAAAAGCATGAGGTTTTTAGAAATTAAAAATTTGACACATGTTTCCTGTGAGGGTTGGGTTTAGAGGTAGGCACATATAATAAGTGTTGTTGTTTGTTTTGTTTTTTACTGTATAAATTACATTACAAGTATGTGTGTGTGTGTGTGGGCTTTCTGCAATGTGCCTCATATGGGTTCCCAATTCTGGTCCTTGGAGAACTACATTGTACCTGGCAAACCTCAAACAAACACACACAGACAGTCACAAAAACACACACACCTGGGTAAAGTTGTGTGATGCCCAGATGGTGGCAGGCAGAAATGTGGTTGAAATGCTAAAGCCCAGGTGGCATAGCACGCACGCAAGCACACACACAATGCAGCAATTTGGAGCATGTTTTACAATACAGAGGCACAGAGCTGCTACACAGACACACATACACACACTCACTCACATTCTCCAACTACACAGTTTCTGGTCACTTAATAAGCCATCGGTCTCATTGAGCTTGTGTGTCTGCATGAAGCTTTATCTGTGTGTATGAAAGAGGCCTCGGTGTAAATGAATGGTGTGTGTGATTATTTCTTAGAATACCATCATGCCTCAAGTCATTAAGACTGCGGATATGCCATTTGTGTGTGTGCGTGTGTGTGTGTCGCCTCATTAGTGCTATATGTAAATGAGATGGCTGAAGTCCAGAGGGGTCACAGACACTACCACAGAAAAATAAAGACTGAAGATGACACAAGTGTGTGTTTGCGCAGAGCGACGCGCTTCAGTGTTATCATGTGCGAGGTGTTTGTCAGCAGTGGATTTCAGATAATCACAGAGAATAAACCACGATGGAAACACTCAGTAAACAGTGTAGTTTTTATTTTAGGGTCAGTTTGCAGTGTCATTTAATACATTTTTTAACACCGCTTTCCCTTCGTTTACTTTAAAATATGTCTTCATTTTTCTAAAGAGATTTAAGGTCAATATAATTGAAAATTGACTCATGCTAAAATACGACTATACCTAAAACCTTGGATTATAGATTTTGAACAAACACAGACACAGAATGTCTCTTTTTTCCTCTCTCTCTCCATACATATATATGTCTATTCAGGTCAGCACATGTTGTTTTTATCCTCTCAGTCCATTCCTTCATTCACCTCATTCCTCCTTTGCTTTCTACATCTGTTATGTGTGTGTTTATTTTCAGTTTTGGCCATTATGTTTTTCCTTTAGGCCAGAGAGGAGGAGGGTGTTCCGACCCACAGCTTGTCCAAAGACACGCCCAGACTTGTGCTCAAGACAAACAGCGATGTGCTTGTAAGATATAAACCATTTAACACCCCAAAATCTGAGATGTAGAAACAGCATATGCACACTGATTAAGATCATTTCTGTTTTGATTTTGTTTTACAGAAGATGTGATTTTCATCCATGTCTGAAATCTTAATTCTGAAATATGATATGATTTTATTAGGCATGCACTAATATTACAATCCTGGCTAGTAACCCCTAAAAAGATTTCATGGCATTTAACAATTGACAGTTGAGTTTAAAAAACAATTCAATAACTTATAAAATAATATAAACATACAATAAACTAACAACATTTATTTAATTAATATCATGAAAACCTCATGATTGATTTAAAATCATTTAATAATTTGATTATTTTGAGCCTCTAAATAATCTTTTTAGTGTGCTTGTATTTAAAGTGACTTCAGTTCAAGCTTGAAAACACTGAAAACAATTAACAAAAGTCTAAAAACAATTAACTAACAGTTGTCGTAAAAGATCAACTCTAATATCTACAAAATGATTTATATCAGGGGTGGACAAACTTTTTCTTATGAAGGGCCAAAATTAAATATCATTGGGAGCCATGGGCCAGTTAAATATACCAAACTATATTACAATAAATTTGCTATGGATAATTTCCTAATTTATTTCAGAATATTTAAAAATAAACATTAAATCTTTACATTTAAATTTGTATTTACCATTGCAGTATAACATTTTAAACTTATTGCAATAAACTTATTGCAATAAAAACATAATCACATTTATAAAACACATAAATCTTTAAACTTTAATTTGTATTTACTAATGCAGTATAACTCTTTAAATGATAACTTATTGCAATAAAAACATTATTACATGTATAACACAGTGAAGTTTAATACAGTAGTCAAGCAGAATCTGCCTTTGACTTGATTTGCTCACCAAAGTGTCAGTGCTGCCAGGTGACAGTATATGCACATTTAAACATAATATGATTCATTTACACCATTTAAAGAGCCCATATTATACATGAAATAGGGTCATATCCTGGTTGTAAGGGTCTCCAACAACAGTCTAATATGCATGCAAGGTCAAAAAACACTTTCATGGTCTTATAATCTGCATTTATTTTTACCTAATTATCCCAGCGACTCCTGTATGAATCGTCCAGTGATTCATTTGTTCCCAAACCCCTCCTTAGCGCGGAGCTAATCTGCGCTGATTGGACCGATGACAGTCTGTCGCGATTGGTCGACTGCCTTCAGTCAGAGAGGGAAATGGCCAATAGCTAATCAGCAATTTAAAAAGTAATCACAGTTCATACACGCTCGATAGTGCAGACGTGGATTTTAGCTGCCACACTATGGCGAGTGGATAGTGCCACGGATAACCGAACGAAGGAGACAGTCGTGTACTGGCCATACCACACACACACAAAAACACACACACACCTCCGGATGACAACGCTCCCGCTTCCGCCCGCACCCGCCAGGTTTTAGCCTGAGAACCCGCTCCGTTTTCTGCCCGCCGCGCCCGGTCCCGCTAGAGCGGAGAACACAACCAAAAATCACCCAGTATACAGTCCAGACAGCCAAGCTGTCGTTCGTTCGTTCGCTCGCTCTCTCTCTCTCTCTCTCTCTCTCTCTCTCTCTTTATCCGTGTGATGAATGTCCATCATTGACAGTAGTGGCAGATGATAAATGCCTTCATTATCTTCAGTGGAACTCTGGCTTCAGCAGTCAATTCACCAGTCTTAAGAGGATTCTGTGTCTCTGCAGTGTGTTCAGGCAGGCCTGAGGCAATTCATATTCAGTTTCAGATTCAGAACAGCATCACTGGCATGATAATCAAAGGTTTAAGGTTACCAATGCATAAGTAAACAGTACTCACATTTGGACAACACATATAGCAACAGAGTTTGAAGTGATTCGATTTTCATTGTGTTCAGTGTGTATGTACTATAATTATGGCATGAGGTTAAGAAGTGTAATCTGGTTTCTATGTCATTTTGGGGTAAAATGTTCAACTAAAGCACTTTAAAATGTAGTATTGTAGTCTTAAACATGACTCCTTTCTACGTTAGTTAAACTTTTTTAATAATTATAGATACTACATGTTAGCACTCAGAATCAACTTAATACTACTCTTCCTGTCATCTGTAATGTAATGTACACTGAAAACAACTCCCAATATTTTTAATCATGTATTTTTCAAGTTGATGCACTTTTGGCAGCAATTACAGCCTCAAGTCTTTTTGAATATGATGCCACAAGCTTGGCACACCTGTCTTTAGAAATTTTTGCCCATTTCTCTTCGTAGTACCTCTCAAGCTCTATCAGGTTGGATTGGAAGCGACGGTGTACAGCCATTTTCAGATCTCTCCAGAGATGTTAATTAGGATTTAGGTCTGGGCTCTGGCTGGGCCACTCAAGGACATTCACGAGTTGTTGTGAAGCCACTCCATTGTTATTTTGGCAGTGTGTTTTGGGTCATTGTCCTGCTGGAAGATGATTTGTCGCCCCAATCGTTTGAGGTCAAGAGCACTCTGAAGCAGGTTTTCATTCAGGATGTGTCTTTTCTGCATTCATCTTTTCCTCTATCTTGACTAGTCTTACAGGTCCTGCTGCTGAAAAACATCCCCACAGCATAATGCTGCCACCACCATGCTTCACTGTAGGGATAGTATTAGTCTGGTGATGAGCGGTGCCTGGATTTCTCCAAACAATAATAATGCCTAGCATTCACTCCAAAGAGTTTGACTTTAGTCTCATCAGACCAGAGAATTGTATTTCTTATTGTCTGAGAGTCTTTCAGATGCTTTTTGGCAAATTCCAGGCCGGGAGTTGCTTCCGTCTGGCTACTTTACCATACAGGCCTGATTGGTGGATTGCTGCACAGATGGTTGTCCTTCTGTGGCCGGCCAGCTCTAGGAAGAGTCCTGGTGACTCCAAACATTTTCCACTTAAAGATGATGGAGGCCACTGTGCACTTTAGAACTTTCAGAGCAGCAGAATTGCTTTGTGCATTAAGACAATCCTGTCTTTAAATTCAACAGACAATTCATTTGTCTTCATGCTTGGTGCTTTGACATGCACTGTCAACCCTGGGACATTACAGTATATAGACAGGTGTATGCCTTTTCAAATCATGTCCAATCAACTAAATGTATCACAGGTGAACTCCAGTTAGGCAGCTGAAACATCTCAAGAATGATCAGTGGAAACAGAATGTACCTGAGCTCAATATAGAGCTTCACGGCAAAGGCTGTGAATACTTATGGACATATCATTTTTCAGGGTTTTTATTTTTAATAAATTTGCAACAATTAAAAAAAAAAATCACATTGTCATTATGGGGTATTGTGTGTAGAATTTTGAGGAAATAAATGAATTGAATCTATTTTGGAATAAGGCTGTAAAATAAAAAATGTAAAAAAAAAAGTAAAGCGATATAAATACTTTCCAGATGCACTGTTAATATAGTTTAAATTTACTAAGTGTCACGTTCACTGTAAAGACAAAGGTTGACTCAACCTAAAATTGTAAGGCAAGTTACTGTGGAGTATTTTTGAGTTGACTCAACTTTCAACCCAAGTACTGCACTTGACTCAATTTAAGTTGAGTAAACCCAAAATGCATACCTGTCAACATTAAGAGACCCCCCGTCCCCCATTCTGATCAAAGAGCAGCGAATGAATCTCTCATTTAGATTTTTCGTTTGATTACATTAAATAACAGAGGTGTTATAAATTAATTTTATAGAAATGCATACATTTTTATACTCATTTAAAAGAATACCCACCAGGATCAACATGTTTCAATATTATTAATATTATTATTGTGTATTTCAAACATGCATCCAAAACCTAGTGTCCCTTTTTGCTCCACTGCAAATCTCGTTTACAAAATCCGTTTGGGAAACAATGTCTATTTATCACTATGGATCGCGTCTGACAGTCACGCACCACTACAGAAACTGACTGTTGACTGCAATGGTGAATGTTATAGAAGAGAAGGGAATCCTGCCATTTTTATATTTATTTTAAAGTGTTTTTATGCCCTAATAAAATGAAAGCTGGGCGAGGCAGTGGTGCAGTAGGTAGTGCTGTCGCCTCACAGCAAGAAGTTGCTGGGTCGCTGGTTCGAGCCTCGGCTCAGTTGGCATTTCTGTGTAAAGTTTGCATGTTCTCCCTGCGTTCGCGTGGGTTTGCTCTGGGTGCTCCGGTTACCCCCACAGTCCAAAGACATGTGGTACAGGTGAATTGGGTAGGCTAAATTGTCCGTAGTGTATGAGTGTGTGTGTAAATGTTTGTGTGTTTCCCAGAGATGGGTTGCGGCTGGAAGGGCATCCGCTGTGTAAAAACTTGCTGGATAAGTTGGCGGTTCATTCCGCTGTGGCGACCCCGGATTAATAAAAAGACTAAGCCAACAAGAAAATGAATGAATGGAAATGAAAGCGCAAAACAGATTCACATTTAGGAGCATGGGGTGCCCCCTGGTGGTTCGGCGGTATGGGTTGTGCATAGGGAGGATCAGCTCTTTGATGTTTATTGCCATCCTTTATAGCAAGATTAAAAATATGGGAGAAATATGGGAAAATACCTTTATGGTATTGTAGGGTGATAGAATAATTAAATACGGGAGAATCCCAGGAAAACAGGGTTAACAATGTCCTGAAGCTGGTTGTCCTACAATTTTAAGTTGAGTCAACTTTTTTGTGTGAGTTGTTTAACTGTGAAGTTACATTTGAAATGTAAATGTATAAATGCTATGTATAAGGCAATTCGACATTGTAAATAAAAAGAAATCATGAAGCACAAAAATATGGGAAGCTATTGCAATAGACCAGGGGTGGCCAACCCTGTTCCTGGAGATCTACCTTCCTGCAGATTTCAGTAGCAACCCATATTAAACACACCTGCCTGTAGTTATCACGTGGTGTTTAGGTCCTAATTAATTGGCTCAGGTGTGTTTGATATGGTTAGCAACTAAAATCTGCAGGAAGGTGGCTCTCCAGGAACAGGGTTGGCCACCCCTGCAATAGACCAACAAAACAAAATGAGTGAATTTTAGCATACTAGTAGCAATTTAATTGTTATCTTTATTTTTGTAATTTAAAATGCAAAGCACCTCAGACAGTGCTTAAAAAATCTTTGTGAATTCCCCCCACTTTATTGCAAGTAGTTAGTTGTGTAGTACGTTTGTGCATTGGTGGCAGGTTTCTGTCTGCCTTTTTGACAAGCCAGTGTTTGCAAATCTCTTTATAAGTACTCGACTTGCCAGGCCTGAGGCAGAATTTTCTGCACTCATCTACATTGACTGACCTGCTCTCTGGAGAATGACAACCTTATCAACTGCAGCACACTTTTGTCGAGTTGTTAGACAGACAAAACTATCCTGGCAGAAAGAGTGTCAGACAGAAAGAGCAAGACTGAGACAATATTCAATCATTTAGAGTAGTTTCTTTCTTATAGCATGGTCATATCTGTGTTCATCTGTCTATGCTTTGGCTTGTCAGTCACCCATATAAAATTGTGTTTCCGAAACACATCGTATCATTTAATTACCCAGAGTTCCCTCTTCGGTCTTACTGTTACGTGCAGGTTTAAGCCCCTCATTTCTGTCTATCTCAGTGTTGTCACTGTCTTCCTCAGTTAGTGTCACCTGCAGTGTCACACACACACACACACACACACACACACACACACACACACACACACACACACGCACACTGAAAATCCACATGCATAATTGGCCCTTGAAGGGAAAACCTTTTAGTCGTGGCTGTCAGAGTTTGACCCTGCAGCTAGCCTTAGGCACCTGACTCCTGACATCTTGTAATGAGTGTATCTATGTGTGTGTGAGGATGTATGTGTTAAAAATAAAGAGAGACAATGTGATCAGAGGAGATAGAAAAAGAAAATCTAAGAAAAACAGAATTATGTGTTTTATTGCATTACTTTTAAGGTGTTACTAAAACAATATTGTAAACATAAACAATTTTACATTTAAATAATTTTATTTGAAAAAGTTTTATTAATTTATATTGGTGTTTTTTCTCTCTCCTTTTCTATGTTGTATCTTATTTCAATCTCTACATTTTAAATGGTTTGTTTCCTTAAAATGAGTTTACAACTAAAAACAATAAATAAATTCTTTAGTTTTCAACAAAGTTTCTAGCTGCTTTGACTGCTGGACTGCTCCATGGTTCGGGATGAGTGATGAGGGATACATTTGTGTAGATGCAATGATTACATTAACATTTTATTTGTTAGACACTCACTGTACAAAAGATGTTATTTGTAATTTAGGTATAATTTATACTTCTAGGTATTTATGTATGTGTTAAAAAGGATGTATTTGTTACTTTTTAAGTGTTAATAACATAAAAATATTGTAAAAAAAAAAGATTTTCAATTTTACATTTAAATAATTTTAAATATCACAAATTAACATTAGTGAAAATATTATTAATATAGATATTGAACTTCATTTTTTCATTCAAAAAAGTATTTCTGAGACCTTGAAAATTTAATACTTCATTAATTAATGCATTTTATATTAACCCTTTAATCACCCAAAACCCTATCATTTTGCCAAGTTCTGCCACTTTACAATCAAACACACATACACACTCATACACGCACCAACACACCCGCACTCACACTTAAAAAACTGAAATTGTTACTCTTTAATGATGTATTGATCCAAGGCGAGTGTTTGGTTTCAAATTTGTGTGCTTTAAAATATAAGCTGTAAACTATGAGTCTTTTGTTTATAATGTTTACTTTGTGGTTGTTCAAATTGCAGGTCTGTGATTGGTGCAAACACATCCGCCACACTAAGGAATACCTGGATTTTGGAGCTGGTGAGAGGAGGCTTCAGTTTTGCAGTGCTAAGTGTCTGAACCAATATAAGATGGACATATTCTATAAAGAGACTCAGGCTGCTCTGCCAGGGGGTTTGTGTAACCCTCCTCTCCCCACCAGTGATACAAAATCAGAGAGCGGTGCGGGTGTACAGCTCCTTACACCTGAGTCCTGGAGTGCACCTCTGAGTGAGCTCCGCAGTCGAAAGGCACCTTCACCAGTGGGTGCCACTATAGCTGGACCTTCTGGATCCACGTCAGGGTCACCATCTGAAGCTGGAACTGTGTGTTCCTCATCGTCCTCATCATCTTCATCATCATCATCAACGAAAATACCCACACCGCGGCCACACGAAAGCCCTTCTTTACCGCCACCTCATCCACCATCTATATCAGGGCTACATCCAGCTCTGGGTATGCCACCCGGCAGCCCACCTATGGTCATGACACCTCGAGGCCCAGTTCCTTTCCCTATCTTCATGGAGCACCAGATGATGCAGCAGATGCGCCCTCCGTTTCTACGCCCACCAGGCCCAAACAGCCCTCATTCCAATCCCATGATTCCTGGCATTGGGCCACCACCACCTCCACGGACTTTGTGTCCTCCATCAAGCCCCATGCATCGCCCACTCCTTTCCCCCCATTTACACCCTTCCTCTACCCCAACCCTTTCTGGGAACCCTCCAGGTATAATGCCCCCTCACCCTGCTGCCCACATGCCAGGCTTGCCTTTCCCCCCAGTTAACATGATGCCATCTGGTCCCATCCCAGTTCCACCTATTATGAATATTGGCATGCCTTCTCTGGCCCCCTTAGTGCCTCCACCAACGTTATTAGTGCCCTATCCAGTGATTGTGCCATTGCCAGTCCCCATACCCATACCAGTGCCCATACCATTTAATCCGCAGCGGTCAGGTGACAGACCAGGAAATGATGGAACACTTCCAAACACTGCAAACGAGCAGAAAGATTCAAAAGCACCACCATCATTTTCCTCTAGAGGAGAGGAGAGGGACTTTCAGAAAGCCCCTCCTAACTCAGACACACTTTCACCAGAATTTTCCAAGCAGACGGAGCAGGGTAGGACAAACATGGCAGATTTGATGGTTAAAATGGAAAACTCTGGTAAAGGAAGTTCTGAACACTCACATAAAGACACACCAGCAGATGGAGTCATTGATCTTACGACCAGTCATCGCTCCCGGCAACAGCTAGTGATCCAGAGGGCTGTAACCTGTGTGCAGGTAAAAGCAGAGCCCGGGTTAAGTCCACCGCCTGCACTTTTGGGTGAAACTGAGTTGGATGGGTCAACAAGTATTAGCACAGGAACAGCAAAAGATGACCACAGAGACACATACAGTAATGCTGAAAGCCCATTGGCTAGTGTAGCTCTGCCTTGTGCTGACCCATCCTACTGCAGCGGCACACCACCACTTTCTCAGCCAATCACATGCAGTGCCTCCATTATCCCTAGCAACATCACCACCGCTAAGACTGAGCCTGGCTCTGCTACACCCTGCAATGTGATCGTTAATGGGAGCTGTAATTTGCCTCCAACAGAGAGTTTGATCAGAACGCCTCCGTTAGAGCAACGCCCTCAGGTGGACACCTGCCGCAGGACGGCCACTGTGTGCGATGAGCCTGCGGGGGCAGATCTAGAAGGAGAGGACCTGAAAGAGAACAGTTGCCTAGCCACAGAAAAAGACTCGGCAGGTAAGAGATGTTCAAATGACCAGTCTGCTATTACTACAGGCACAGGGGATGATAAATCTCAGAGCCCTGAAGATGACCCATCTGGTGAGGACCATGCCTACGCCTTGCCCCTCATGCCCAAACCTGGCTGTGTCATTCAACCAGTGCCCAAACCTGCTGAAAAAACTGCTGCCATCTTGCCCTGTGGCTTGACAGCCCCATTAACAGGAACTGTTCCAATGGAAATGGAGCCTCCACTGAAGAGAAGGTGTCTGCGTATCCGCAATCAGAACAAGTGAAATTGAGGAAAGGTGAAAATCTGAGTTTGACAATATTCTTCATATTTTTTTGCTATAAATGTTGTAAATATATCTCCTGGTAGTTGCAAAGTAATTTCAAGTGAAAGGGACAATTATGGTATTTGATTTCTACAAAATAATGAAGAGAACAGATACATCATTTATAACAGGCAGTACTATATACATATAAAATAAGACTACATTTTGTTTTCATGCCAACTTAAAAACTCAAATAACTTATGTAACTTAAGTATGTAACTTTGTATAGTCCTTATGGCCCGTTTCCACTGAGTGGTACAATATGGTATGTAATAGTTCGTATGGCAGATCTTTATTAGGCTTGCATTTCCACTGCCAAAAACGATACCAATGGTTCATTTACTCTTTGTTTGGGTTCAAAAACAACACACAACATATAGCCCAGTCAGTGCAAACCTCTCATCAGTATCTTTAATCTTCACCAGCACGTGTAACCCATGTTAGAAAGTATTTCCATCATTCCGAGTTCATAACAGTCCAAAAGGTGATGATAATAGTTAAACATGGCAGTTTGTTCATGTTTTAGGTTGTTGAAAAAATCATTTGCTTCTTTGTCTTTTCAGGCTCCTGCTTTGTTTTTTCGCACTTTACTCTCGTGTTTGTTTGTTTTTGAAAGGATCGGATGTCTGAAGCACTTCAATAATCACGCGCACGTTATTATCATCAGCTCAAGAAGTTAGTTTTTTCAAATATTGACTCGTATGTGAGAGCATAATCGCTTGAGCTTTAGTCTGCCTTGTAAACAACTATGGGACACAGGGTAGATTCTGCTTTTCTTCTTAGTTTGTGGCTGTTCATCAAGATGATGACAGGGTTTGTTTAAGCTCAGGGTGACCATGGCTCATTATTATATGCATATATATATATATATATATATATATATATATATATATATATATATATATATATATATATATATATATATATATATAATGGTGTAATGTCTTGGCTGTGTATTTAAAAATGGTGCTTCCTTTGTTTTCAATCTCCTATCTTGTGCATGAGCTAGTGACATATTTCTGTAAACCAATGGCATTCAGCAGCGTGTCTTGCTCCGCCTTTTGGTACCCTTTTGTTGTGCTTTTGGAAGGGTACCCAAAAAGTGGTATGGTACAGTTCGCTTTTTAGTACCTTTTGACAGTAGAAACGGCCACTGTAGCGCACCATACCAAACCACTCAGTGGAAACGGTCCATTAGACCAGTAAACCATTCAATCTGATCTGAAAAACATAAAAAGGCTGCATGCAATATCTTACCCCCCCCCCCTCTCTCTCTCTCTCATAGATATTAACTTCTCACTAAAGGGATAAAGAGGCCTGTCCTGCAGCAGAGACCATCCGTTGTCCCCAGACTCCATCTCCAATCAAGATGTCAACCTTGTTTCCTCCACTTCTCCAATCCTGCACAAACATGTTCAGACATAACAGGCACACAGATCATCCGGTGTGGGACAGTAGTCTGCTCCATCTCCACCCCTCCTGGCTAAACAAAGACTGACACAAAGTGTTAATCTGGGAAGTAGATAGGCTGTGATGTTTGACCTTCAATTTCAGCACCTTCAGGCATAGTCTGTTCCCAGTCTTCTTGTTGAGGAAAGAGATATTTCTCATCCTCTGCACTCGATCCCCCTTCATCCACAGTTTGATGTTGTGTGGATTTTCCGCCTACTGGTTGGAGGCAGTATTGCAGTGGAAGACCACAGTGTAGATATGCAGATCTCCAAGAAGGTGGAGCATATGCCAAACATAACAGCTCTGCCAGGCTGCCAATTAAACATTTGAAACAAGGCCAGTCGATTCCTGCCACAGAAGGATGGACCAGTTTTCTCCTTTGTGCTTGCGTATTCAAAGAAGCGTGGTTTAATCTGTCTGTACAATTGAGGTTTGATGCTTCAGACTTGCAGAAGCAGAGCCGGTCTAGAAGATGGACAGAATTCTCTCTCAGCTCATAACCTTTCTCTCACTCACTTCGCCTGACTATGTGTATCAGTATCTGCAACACCAGCAAAACAATCTGTACTCTTTCTTAACCTTTTTCCTTTCTCTCCTTTCTGAGGGAGAGGTGTTCCGGAACTGGACACCCAAAAAAAGACAGGAAGAGGGAAACTCACACACCCTGGAGGGAATACACAAATCACAGAGCGAGCTCAAAAAATAGAGGGATGGGGTGAAGTTTAATTTCATCCCTAGGAGCTCATTTACCGTTGGAGAAGAAAGCTAGAAGATAAGTAGTCCGCACTACTGGAAAACAGTGTTTGCTGGTTTATTGTGCAATGAAAATTGATTTATTCACTGATTTGATTGAGGATAATACAGGGTACAGGCCTCAGCAAGCATTTTGGCGAACTGTTTAAATGGCTGCTAGTATTGTGGCCACTGGTTTGGAGGCTCTCCACCCAGTCTGTTCAATTACACGCGCTCATTGAAATGCCACACGGCTTGACAAAGAGTTGATGGGTTGTGTCCCAACATATCAAGACGGCTAGATGGAAATCAGTGTCCACAGGGGCATTTGGGTTGGATTTCTCATTATTTATATCTGTATCCATCTTATTGTGGTGCTCTTACTTAAGAACTTCCCTCCTGAGTTTCCTATCGCAGTGCAATCAAACTGAGTAGAGCTAGAGAGAGAGAGGTCAGCAAATGTTTCAGTGAGCTGGTGTCAGTGGTGCATTCCTGAGGTTCAGTTGTATTTTTACGCTTTATTTTTTTGCCAAATCCCAATCAGTGCTAAGTTATGTTCATCACTTCCTTTCCAGCTATGGTTACAGGAACAGTCTTAGTTAGTTCCAAGGTGCCTCAGTATAGAGTTCACTTACACAAGATGCCAAGAACATTTAGCTTAAAGCTAGACTGGGTTGGGAAGGTGAATACCTAGCCAAAATAACTCTAGTTTCGCAGAGTACTGTAAGAGGCGAATGCATGATTAGCACAGTTGTCTATATGTCATTTGTTTCAACTAAAACAGAGACGTAAATCTAAAAGCCAAGTGTTTGTGTGTGTGTGTGTGTGTGTGTGGGAGATTCAGTTTAAAGAATGGTTTATACTTCTGCATTGAGTGATCGGCATGACCAACGATGCCTGCCTTGCGCGTATTCATGCATTTATACTTCTGCTTGCTGTTTGTGTTGCAATAATACTTCTGAAACCCTAGCTGGCAGGAGGTTTTTATGTTCCTTTAGTTTAGTTTCTTTGCAGGTGTTTTGCTTTTTCTGAAGGCTACCTTAATGTGCACAGAGCTAAAACTTGCTGATTCAGAGGCGGAAACTGGCAGACAACAACTTTAATCATTAGGTAAACACAAAACAACAGTTTCCATCTAAAGCTATTTCGGGACTCGACACTTGTTGACACTCGATCCAACAGGTTTGGGAAGCTCTTGCTCTTGCCCTCACTGCTACAGCTGCCAAGCTGACTAGTCACAGATCTTGGTCCTGGCCACACTGCTACACCTACCAAGTCGACTAATCACAGAGCTTGCGCTATGTGTCGTTGCGATTTGTAGTTACATTTTTAAGAGGTGCACGTCAGCGTCTGCATCGGTGTCAGCTATGGCGAGGGCTATGCAACCATGCAAAGGCTGCAGAGAGCGTACACGTGCACTTGACACAGAAGTATAAATCAGCCTTAACAATATGATCAAGTTTGCTAGTTTATATAGGAAGATTTTAAACTGAAGTAAAAAAAAAAATCACAAGGATTAATTAAATATCTCAAATAAATAAATTCTGATTATTTTTACATTTGAATTAAATAATTGTAATGAAGAGAGTTTTCTTTTCCATTTGAACTTCATCAGAGAAGAATTTAAGACCAGCAACCTTTTTTTAAAACTTTATTTACCTTTTAAAATTGTACTTATACTTTAGAATTTTTTTTGATTAATTTGATAATTTAAATGTATTTTCTTTCTCTTTTTATGACTTGCTTTATTTTTTTTTCCAGTTTTGTTTATTTATTTATTGATTTTTAAAATGTATTTTTTATTTTATAATTTGATGTTTTGGGATGGCACTGTGGCTCAGTGGTTAGCACTGTTACCTCACAGATCGCTGGTTCGAGTACCAGCTAGGTCAGTTGGCATTTTTGTGGGAAGTTTGCATGTTCTCCCCATGTTTGTGTGTTGTGTGGGTTTCCTTTGGTTGCTCCGGTTTCCCCCACATTCCAAATACTTGCGGTATAGGTGAACTGAATAAACTAAATTGGCCATGGTGTATGTGTGTGAATGTAAGGTGTTTCCCAGTACTGGGTTGCAGCTGGAAGGGCATCTGCTGTGCAAAACATATGCTGGATAAGTTGGCGGTTCATTCCGCTGTGGCGACCCCTGATGAATAAAGGGACTAAGCTAAAAGAAAATGAATGAATGAAGCTTCTGTTTTGTTTTTGCTCTATTGTGTCTTTGTGATTTCTCTAATATTAAGTTTAATTAAGAAGAGTTAACTGGCCAGCAGTGACCCAAATCTCCCCTCTCTTCTCTTCGACCTTTACCACTTCTCTCTCCCTCTTTCCCTCTCATTTTTTCTCTCTCACTCTCTAGTCCTGGACGACGTACAAAGAACAGTGCAATCCAACCCGATCCCTCTGTACTTTTTTGCAGCAGTATTCAGTTTCACAGCGGTATATTTTTTTAAGAGTGGGCTCAGAGGTCTAATTGTGACTGGATTTCTCTCTGGGGTTTGTATGTGGCGGAGTCTCATTCCAGTGTCAGATTTAAACACACACACATTCCTGTGTCGGATTTATTTTGTCAGTGCTGATACGGCTGGCTGACCCTCCGTCTGGATAGAGGTGTTACAGAGAACAGATTGATAAAAAGGGCAAAATGTCAGAGGAGCACAAACATGATGTGCGTGTAAGTTTGTGTGTTTATGTGAATGCAGAGGAGAAACGGTGAATCTTAGTGTTGATCTGAAGATGTTTGATACTGTGTGTGCGGCACAAGCAACTGTACATTACA